GAGAGGAATAAGTCGAGAAAAGAGGAGAGCGAGAGAGAGCAGAAAGTGTAAAGCGGAATGAGAGAGCGAGCGAGTGAGAGAACAGAGATTCAAAAAGAAGAAAAATGTAAGAGAGAGAGAGATCCGGCGAGCCGAGAGAGAGGGAGAGAAAGAGAAGATGAGGTAGAGAGTGAGAGCAGAGGGTCGTCGGGCGGCTGAAGAGAAGGATGAGATGAACATCTTATTCCGAGAGAAGAGTAGAGTGAGAGAGAGATGAGGAGAGGGCAGAAGAGAGGGAGAGAGGATAGCGAGGGAGAGCAGGAGCTGACGAGAGAGAGATAGAGGAAGTAAATGGAAGGTTGGGGGTGTCTTCCGGTGCGTTATTGTTATACCTCATACCGCGCATGCCTACTAAGTGTCTGGCCGCGCATGCTTGCTATAGAGATAGGCATTTTACGGGTCAGAATGTCCGGCGCCGACGAAGTGAGGAGATGGACGCTACGAGACAAAGCAATGGGTCTGGTAATTAGCAGCAATGGTCTAGCGATCGACTGCAGAAAAAATTTAGAGAAACAGAAAATAAAGGTTTGCAATGCTCTTTTTTCGTGATAGTGCATTTGTTTGCATGGGGTGGGGCGTATTGAATGGCTGTGGGATGCCCACCCCATTTGCTTGGGTGCTACAATCCAGTGTATAGATGGCGGTATAGGTATCTCGGAAGTCGCGGTTTTCGTGAGAGCGGTTGTCCTTCTTCAATGTTGTGTTCTTCTGTTGGGTGTGGTCACCCCCAGTAAAAACCCGCGGTATAGAACTATAGATTTTTTCCAAGTTTTTAGCCTCATACATGGTTCTTATATAAATAGGTGCTTACTGGAAACAAATTAGGCTCAAAATGTTCTTTAAATTGGTTCTTAATTGTATTCTACTTTTAGATATGTACTTAGCTTAAAACCCGCGCTACGCGCCGGGCTTGAGTCATCCTGTGTGAGTGCATGTGTTACCAGCTCAGTAGTCGTTGATGTGTAAGGTGTTATATTCGGCGCAGGCCGTCTCCTAGTTGCTCTGCCACGGTGTTTGTTTTTTATGTGTTGAGATGATGGATCTATTATATGATAGTATATAATATCAATTGATTGATACTGTAATAATATGCTATATTATTAACTAGAGTTATGATTGTTATTGCTTTGAGCTGGTTAGGGGCATTGCGAGTTGCGGCGATTGGGCCCATCGTGGCTATCTGCTCCGCCTCTCCGCTCACGCTGTCAGTCGCGTTTCTTATTTTTGAGCCTGTGTTTCTTTTCAGTAAGTCTTCATCGTGCCAGTGGAACAAGTTAACGATAGCCTGGACTTTAAATCTTAGCCTAAAACAGGTTCTTATGTAAAGGGTCTTAAATGGCGGAATTTTAGTCGCGTAACAGTGTTCTTAAATCTATGTTCTATATTACGCGGGCTTGTTTACTGTTACTTGTCTCTGTGTTAGCTTTATTCGCAATGAGCCAAATTCTCGAGCCCAATATCCGGATTTGCTCGAATTTACTTGAGTGAATTCCGGTTATTTATCTCTCTTTAGTAGATATTCTCTCTACTTGGTATTGCCCGATGAAGAGACGATAATTTATTCGAAAGCTTGTGTATTAGAAATTAAACACGTCTTAATTTATATTTTATTTCTACAAATTCTCTCTCTCTCTCTCTCTCTTCGCTCTCTCTATATTATATATATATTTATATGATAACTATATATATATATATATATGATAATTGTGTGTGTGTGTGTGTGTGTGTGTGTGTGTGTGTGTGTGTGTGTGCGTCTGTGTGCGAGCACATGCCCGTTGCCAGCGTGTGCAATCGGCTGAGAACAGTCGCTGTACGTGGTTATAGCTATGTGCCGGTTGGGCCTAGCTCGCGCTGCATATTCCCCGCATAATAGCCAGCATTCACGTTTAAGTGCTCAGGTTGCTTCACATGATAATCAGCCAGCCGGCTCTCTTTCTCCGCCCCTTCCCCCTCTTCCTCTCTCGCGCGCGCTCTCCCCCTCCCTCTCTCGCTCTAGCGTGCAGCACGTAAGCAGTGTGACAGTAGCGGAGTTACGCGTGCACGTATATACACCGAGTAACCGGCGGGAAGCACCACAGCGTGCGTTGCCTGCAGCGCTGGGCGTCTCTCTCTCCTTCTTTCTCTCTGCGTGTGCGATCGTCCGGTGGGTAAAGATTAACATCGTGTTGGAACTCGCCCCGACCGAAACTCGGCGTAGCAGGTGAGCTATAATATCTTAGATTCGATAACGTAACACCGCGATATGGCTCTACCCGCGTGTAGCTCCTTCGCTTCGCAGCAGGTCTGCATCGCTGCTTGCTGATCGAGCCATTTGTATTAGTAACCTGTTGCTGTGATATATACTACATATATGCACGGATAGAGCTGAGACAGCGTCCGTGTATAGCTATAGCTGCATTGTCTGTGCTGGGTTGCGTTGTTGCATCCGTGATCAGCATGTTTACCTGTGCGTAACGTCGACTGATGGATAAGCGCGTTCGTTCACCGACGCGGATAAGCACCTAGTCTTACTGATACGTACAAAATAGATATCTAACTGTTTGTTAGTTTGTGATCAGAGGCGTGTGCGAGGTTGCGTGTACGCGTTATGTTGAGGCGTGAGTATTTTTTTGGAAGGTACGCAGGTGTAATTATTACGCTATATATAGGACATAAACATTAAGACCTTTCTAGTAAATACAATTGTCTGTTTATTTATTATCACTTATTGAAAATATCGTATAGACTCCGTGCTCAAGTGGGAAGCTAGAGAAGCTCAGACGGAGAATTGCTGATGCAGTTATAAGATAGTTTCGGGTGTTTCTGGAGGAT